TTAAATTTATTTATGGTCATTCTATACCTCACATTTTGGATATAACTTGTTTAACTTTACCTAACAAAAGCATTGTTGAAGCCACAAAAACTGTTGATCATATCAAATCAATCCAACAGCAAGTCCTTGAAAAACTTCATATGGCAAATGTTAAATACAAATATGCTGCTAACAAACACCGAAGGAAATTCTATTTTAAAGAGGGTAATTTGGTTATGACATATTTTTGTCATCAGCATTTTCCTGTTGGTACTTTTGGCAAGCTAAGCAGAAAAAAGTTTGAACCTTTTCGTATTCTACGAAAATTGGGCACGAATGCCTATCTATTAAATCTTCTTATCACTATTGGAACTTCTCCTGTATTTAATGTTTCTGACCTTTCTTTGTATGAAGGAAATTTAGAAGATTCTGTGGAAATTGAGACTTTACTAATTTCCACTTCCGTTCTAAGCAAAGATAATCAAATTGAAGATGTTATTGATATAAGGACTATTCAGACTAGACATGGAGAGCACAAAAGGTTCTTGGTTAAATGGAGCAACCATCCGTTGACTGATTGTACATGAATAGATGCAGCGGAGCTAAAAAATCGTCATCCGGATCTCTATCAGAGAGTTGTTGAAGCATTCTCATTAGGAGATTAGATTCTCCCACCAGGGGGTTTGATGCAATGCAAATTTCAATTTTTTTTGTTTTAGACTTTTAGTTTTATTGTAATTTGAATGCTATAGTTAGTTTTTATTTTTTTTATGCTACCCTATTATGGAAGGCAACCAATGATCATGAGTAGGTTGTGCTTTGGGCTAGGCATTATTTGGGTGTGCTAGCTATTTTGGTGTCTTGGCTCTTGGGCTGATGTGGGCATCTCGGTTTGGGGTGGCTATTCATTTTTTATTGTTTTGTTGGGAGCTGCTATGCTCCAGCTCATTAATTCTGAGCTGCTGCTTCTTTTTCAGCTCATTACTATTGGTAGTTCACCTCCTTTTTAGCTCATTATGTGGAGAGAACTTGGTTCTTTCCCCATCTCTATTGGTCCTTCGGTTCCCCCGCTTGGCGCCTATCCCGTGGTTGGTTCCTCTCCCTATGGCTGCCTGTTCTGGTTCTTTGTGGGCGCCCGTTCCTGTCCCCCTTGTGGCCCCTTCGGGTGCTGCTCCTGGACCGCCTGTTGGCCTTCTGTTTCCCCTATTTTGATTGGTTCGGCTAGTGGTGTTTTGGGATGTTTAGCTACCTCTTTTCTCCCATATATATGTGATGTATTGAGGCATTTAGGGGCAGTTGTTTGCTGAACAAAGTTCTCTAAAACCTGAGGGTTTCTTCTTGGGAAAGCTTGCGAGCCTGTTCCACTTCTCTCTTCCTTTCTTCGATTTCGTCTTGGGCTTCTTATCTCTTTCTTCTCTCCACAAGTTCCACTCCACTTGTATCTTTCTTCTTGAGCTATTGGAGGTGTTGGTTGGCCGGTTTGGTAGCTTTTGACGGAGGAGTTTTGGTGGATGTTGGCCCAAGTAGCTGTGGTGGACTCTTGGTTTGCATGCCCTTAAGCACATCTTTTATATTGCCTATTATTTTGTTGCATGTGAGATGACCGCTTGTCGGTTGTTCTGAGGGTAGTTGTTTTTATTTTTTATTTTTGGCTTTCGTTTGTTTCGATATTTGTTTGATGTTAGGTTTCTACATTTTGAATCGAGAAAAGTTCTACTAGTCCTGGTGTTCTCCCCTTGTGGTTTTGTTTTCTATCTAGTTGTCTGCATCATAAAACGACACTCTTATTAATGACTTGATCACCCAAAGTCACAACCCCCCAATAGATCGATTATTATTAAAATTACACTTCATATATTCTATTTGGATCTACTCAAACGAATGTCATTAGACTCTAAGGTTGACCTCCATAATTCAAATTTACCCTCAACTTCCTCTCTATTCTTATCAACAAGAAGAATTTCATCAGCAAAAAGCATACACCAAGGTACAATCTCTTGCAAATGTCAAGTGAGAACATCCAAGACTAAAGATATGGGCTTAAGGCTGATCCTTGATGTAATCCAACTGAATAAGAAAAAACTTGGTCAAACCACCTTGTGTTTGAACACAAGTAACAGCTCTTGCATACATATCCTTAATGACTTGACTACAAGTATTATTAACCCCATTTTCATATAGAATTCTCCATAGCACTTCTCTTGGAACTTTATCATATGCTTTCTCTAAATCAATAAAAATCATATGTAGATCCTCCTTATTCTCTCAATACTTCTCTATAAAATATCTCAATAAATATATAGCCTCCATCGAAGACCTACCTGACATGAATCCAAATTGATTTTGAAAAATATTAGTGTCACGCCGCAACCTATACTCCATAATTCTCTCCCATAGTTTTAAAGTATGACACATTAACTTAATTCCGCTATAATTCGTACAATCTTGTTCGTCATCTTTATTCTTAAAAATAAGAATCAACACAACCATCTGACATCTTTTTAGTCTTGAAAATAATATTAAAAAGTTTAGTAAGCCAAGAAATTCCTTCATCTCCTATGCATTTCCACAACTCTATTGGAATATCTTCAAGTTAAATAACTTTTCCATACTTCATTTTATTTAAAGCCTCTTTAACTTCGATTTTACTAATACGCTGGTAAAAACAAAAATCTTTATTTTCATTTAGGGTGCTAAGGTCACTAAAGTCAATCGCATTCTCATAATCTTTATTGAAAATTTTAGCAAAATATCTCATCCACCTTTGTTGAATATACTCATGTAATAAAAGCACTTTTTGATCTTCATCCTTAATACACTTCACTTGAACTAAATCCTTACAACTCTTATCTCTTTGTTTAACTAACTTATACATATATCTTTCATCCTCCTTAGTATCTACTTTATTATATAAATCATTAAAAGCAAAAATCTTTGCATTGCATATTGATTTCTTAGACTTCTTACAAGACTCTTTATATCTTTTCCAATTATCAGAATTTTTATAGCTAAATCAATTTTTATAACAAATCTTCTTATTTTTTATCTTTTCTTCGATATTTTGATTCAACCACCAACTATTTTTATTATTAGTTGCTTTCAACTAACAAAATAAAATTATTTAGATCCTCGATGATGATCATGTTAACAGTAAATCTCCATCAAAAAGATTAATGCTCAAAATCTAAATTTACATTGCAAGTACAAACATTTTTTTAAGTGATTCAAATGCACCCCGATAATGCAATTTTTAATAATAAATCTCAATAGTAAAGGACCTTATTTTCAAAATGTCATAAAACCATTCTTTATTAGTAACCGGATAAAGTTGATAATATTCAATTGGCAAAAAATAATAATATTTAAGAAAACTCAATTATTAGCTGTGTTGAAAGAAAATCTCAACAAGAAGAGATAACTTGATTTTTAGAATGCCTCTAAATTTCAAGCAGTCACTCGGGGCTTAAATTATAATAAAATTTCAATTTTAAAATATTCAGATGGAATTAATCTCCTAAAACTTAAAAGCAAAATCTATCTATCCACCGCAACCCTTTGTCATGAGTGATGAATTTGTGACTAACTTTACCTCACAAAGAATAACTATCTTGTTAAGAATATCACTAAGATTCATTCTCAAACTATCTCTCACCAGTAAAGATATAGCACATATCCTATAACTAGTGATTTTGTTGCCAAGTAACACTTCAAGTAAACATTGCTATGAGCAGAGCCCTCTAGCTCGATGATACGGCTCCCGCTCCAGGTAGGGCATCATTTACACGAGCAGCAATACCCGGACCAAGGAAGCCCTAGACCGGCCGGTCCAAGCAATTCCAACTCAAGAGGGAGCAGATACAGGAGAGGTGGAGTCTATTATGGAGCTGGGGCCCAACAGAAAATTAATACAATATATTATGAGAGGGTCAATTAGGTAAGAAATTTCCTAATTGAAATTCAAATAGGAGGGGGTAAATTTATTAGGAATGTGGCTTATTTATGAGGGAAGATTATGATGGCTAATTTAAAGCTAAGATTAGGGTTTCTTTGGTGTCATGTAGAATTTTGTATTTGACTGCTTAAGTTTTTCTTGTGTGAGGGATCCTAGCGGCGTCTAGAATTTGGGAGAGAAGATCCTCCTCTCGAAAGAAGATCAATTGTATGTTTCTTATTGTTATTTGCTTTACTAGCAAATGCAAATCTGTTTTGTTCGTCGAATCTCACTGAGTTTCTTGTTCTTTTTTATACTAAGGCGTATCATTGGATCGACTACCTCTAACTAAGCAAACTAGAGACTAGGAATCATAACCTAGGACGACGAAACCATAGGATATTGAATGATTCTTCATCATTCTCCCTACCATCTACTTTAAGTACAATGTGATAAATTTCAAAATCCTATATTAAACTAACTATTATTATACGCATGGTATTTAATGTATAATGACTCTTTAATCAAAAGTGTTTTCCCGTTACTAGGATGGATAATTAATCATAGGAGCTGATGCCTATGCAAAATCTAAACTCAAATCATAATTTCTCACAAAATAAAGGTAAAAACCTCTTAAGTAGTGTTTTATCTTAAATTTAATCTATCATCTAAAAATCTAACTTGGCACATCTAACAAAACTCTGCTTAATGTGAGAGATCAGGGTGCGATTTTTTTAGCCCATATTGTTTTAAATGTGATTAGTAAAATAATTAATTTGATTACTAAAAGTCTGAATGCAGAGACTAGTTGTTGAACAAATTAACTAGTATGCTTTGAGTTGTCAGATTAATTATTTTAATAATCTCATTCAAACTTTAAATAATCAGATTCAGTATTTTAGTGATCACATTCAAATCAAAACAATAATCAAATCCATTATGTCAATAACTACATACAAACAACAATGTCAACTTCAACGTTTGGATTTTTTTTTTTTTTTGAGCCTATGGACTTAAGAAAATTTGTTTGTCAATCATAGGACTTTTGAGCAGTTCATCAAAATAAAGAAGATTAAAAGTTCAGACTCACCTATTCTTAGACGTGGAAAGTCTCGACTTCCCTTTAGATGGTTAATCACACTTCTCATTCTACAAGAAAAAATATTTAAGTATAATTAAGTCATTAGTAAACAAGGTTTTTCTTCAATACTTTGTTTGTGCAAAAGGGGACTTTTTTAAGGATACGTGTCCTGTTGAAAACAATCTTGCAATACAAAGTTGCATTCGTTGGTTAGTGATTATAGCTTCTTACAATGCTTTATCATCATAAATTATTAACTTCGATAAAGAAACAGCATTGAAAAGCAGGAAAAATGGATAACAAAACATTATATGCCACATTGCAGAATGATAAACATTTTGATGAAAAATACGCTTGCAATAAATTAATTAGGATCAATTAATAGGCATAAAAGTTCTGCATTAAGAACCCAGGCTAAAATGACGATGTATAAAATGATATTGGCCCAACAGCTAAAAAAGAGAGAGCCATTCACCACAAAAAATATGTTCTTTAAAAGAATTTAAAAAGAATTTTCTTTATCCAAGGACGAAACCATCAAGGCTTAAAACTTTGATTCGGGCATTGGGCTTCCCTACGCATCTCAGCCTTGAAAGTTTCAACAGTTTTGGTGTCCGGTTTTGTTCTGTTGTACTAACAAATGTTTTAATATATTGTCTAATTTTGTATAGTTTTTAAAGTTAAAATGTCATATCATAATCTATATTTGAATGCTATGTATGAGTGTAAGACAGTAATTCATTACCATATATCAATGCCATATGCCTGTATATTCTATGTAGACAAGTATGTATAGCAATATTTATATCAATACAATAAAAGATTGGTTTTTTTAAAGGTCGGTTTACTTGGTGGTTGGTATATGTTCCCAAGCCATGAAATTGGGGTTCAAACCTCAACTTCAACTTCAGAATTTTGTCATCTTAATTTAACTGAAAGGCCAAATTGGAGGCATACCCAACATCCACGGCTCCAACTGGCCTGCAACTATTGCTCTTGCAGTTACGTAAGGTTTGCTTGATCTTGTAAGCCCACACTCCGACCCACAGCAACCCACACCCATTACTGATTTAAGCCAAAAAATTAACAATTGAAGTAAACACCCATAATTAATTTAATCTGCAATTGATGGTAATCATCCTTTCCATTGCTGCTCCTGCCTTCATGCCAAGCAAGAGGTATGTTAGTGCTCCGTTCAGCTTCATGTGGGGCACGCTCTCAAGCTTACAGCCACTGTAACTCATGCATGGGTGATCCTGCCTCCTTTGCTCCATCCTCATGTACCTTCCACCCGTGCGACCACACACAAAGCTTCATGAGCTTCTCAAGCTTACAGCCCCTGTCACTCATGCATGGGTGATCGTACCTCCTTTGCTCCATCCTCATGTACCTTCCACCCGTGCTACCACACACAAAGCTTTTGTGCTCTGCTGGTAGCCCTCGGGCCTGTTCGAGCAAGGCTTATATCCGCGATTCTTCCCTAGAACTATTGCCTCCAAGCTCCTACTCACACAACACATTTATTTTCTCTCACACAACTTCTTAGCTCCCTAAACCCTAACCCTGACGAATCACTGTACAGTTCCCTGACTCTTTCGTTGTTTTCTCAACAAGTACATTAGGTCTATTTGGTCATCACCAATAATCTTTTGATTACCAACTCCTCTGGGCATCAAAGTCTTAGGCCTGCATTGAGGATGGCATCCTTGACTTTTTCACTAGCCAACTATTTCTCGCCTCTTAGAGCATCATTTGCAGTTCCTCAATCAAATTCGTTGCAGCTAGCATCTCTATTTCCAATGTCACTTTCTTATAAACGTTAGATCTTCATGTCTCCACTCATGAATCAAACTCTCCTAATCCCCCTGCACCAGATGAGCGGAGTGATCAATCACTTCCATCACTTTCATCTCAATATAAGCAGACTCTACTTCTCAAGGCAAACTAAACCTTTTTAACTAAATATGAGATTTGAGAGCTTTTTAGTCTCCACAATTTTTCTTATAGGCAAATTTTCTTTGGGCCGCCCAAATACAAAAATCATGTTCAAATTCATGTCAAAATTGCACTTAGTTGGAGACTTCTCTGTTGGACTCACTGAACATCATCATATCATTACAAGCGCACTACACCCTACTCTTTTCACAGCGATCTTACCATGTCAGTGGATACCCGATAAATGCTAAAATATTCTTTTCACTTTGATTATTCCAACTAACCACCTACTACTCCTATTTGGGTTGCATTTCCTCATATTTGTTTGTATTATTTTCAACCAATCCACCTTATACAGATTTGACTCTATTTTTGATAACCCTTTGCCAGTGAATTCTGCAATAGCTCATCTCTCTCAATTATTAGTGGCAAGAAGTCCGATTGAATTGGGTGTCTCTATTCCTTTTGAAAGGAGGTGCGGATTGATCCTCTTCATGTGGATATTAGCAGAAGGAACTCCTCCATATTGTTATTCTTATAAGATTTTTGGGTACAACTATTCTAAATGTCTTAAGGCTCAACTGAAATTAAGGAAACCGAACATCCAAACACAATGGGATAGATGCAATTCCTCCTACTTCATATGAATATACACTCAAAATATAATACCAACTTTAGACCTTTCAATGGATTCGGAACCATCAATGTTGCCCCGATTAGGCCCAGAGGAACAAATTGTTGACGAATATTTTCGCATCGACTCGACCCCGATCGAACCCGACAAAGTTCGATCGCGCTCGATCAATTCAATTGATCATTGTCGAGGTGAGATTAATCTGAATTAAGCCTCAATTTAATTAAATTAAACCCAATTTAATTTAATTAAAATCAAATCAAAACCAATCGAACTTCGTCGAGCGTTGTCGAGCTCAATTCGACGCATTTCGACACAATCCTTGGAAATCTTGTAGGTGGTAGCTAAAATACCCCTAGCCTTTAGGTGATAGTAAGATATCCCTAAGCTCCTATAGAAGTTATCAAATATCTTCTTACCAAATCAAATTCTCTCTAAAGGTACCAAATATCTTTAGGAATCACTTTTAAAAGTTGCCAAAATGCTTCTAATTAATCCAAAATCTTTCTAGAGATACCAAACATCTCTAGAAGCTCTTAGAAGTTATCTAATACTTCTAACCAAGTTAAATCATTTCTAGAAATGCCAAACATCTCTAGAATTCTCCTTAGAAGTTTTCAAAATACTTCTATTCCAATCAAATCCTCTCTAAAGATACCAAATGTCTTTAGAGACCTCTTTAGAAGTTGCCAAAATGCTTCTAATCTCTCTTCCAAGAGCAATCTAGAACTCTTTCCTTAAGGTGATAGATAGAAATCTCCTTATCTTTGTAGATCTTGTCTAAATCCAAGTTTATGCTTTCATAGATCTCTCATTTTCTCTTTCAAATCATACCCTATTTGATTTGGAAGATCCCGTTTGATCATTATTTGGTCAACGCCAATATGTGTGTCGTACTTCTTTTCGTTCACCACACATATTGGGGGTTCTTTTGTTGACAAATATTTTCGCATCGACTCGACCCCGATCGAACCCGACAAAACTCGATCGCGCTCGATCAATTCAATTGATCATCGTCGAGGTGAGATTAATCTGAATTAAGCCTCAATTTAATTAAATTAAACCCAATTTAATTTAATTAAAATCAAATCAAAACCAATCGAACTTCGTCGAGCATTGTCGAGCTCAATTCGACGCATTTCGACACAATTCGGCGTCGATTCAAGGTTAATTTCGTAAAATTTACTTGATCGGACCCGCTCGGACCCAAATCGATTTGAGTCGAGTTCAATTTGGGCTCAATTTCACCCTAGTTGATTGATTTGGGCTAAATCAAATAGCCAAATCTGTAATTGAAATCAAGGGCTCAGATTTCATCTGATATCCCATTCAATTTCATGATAAAATCCCTCACGCGTGAGATGCCCTTGAGAGTCCATTTTTTTGCGCGGCTGGCTGTTCGTGCTCTTCAAGAGAACAAAAAGGAGAGGGAGAGCCATTCGACTCTCCCGTGCCCTAAGCCCGTCCCAGACGGAGAGGGAGAGGGAGAAAGGCAAGAGCCTCTCGGCTCTTGTGAGGCTTCTTCCGATCGGATAGGAGAGGGGAGTCCGTGTTGTCCGTCCCAGGGGAAGCAAAAGAAGGAGAGGGAGAGCCGTTCAGCTCTCCCGTTTCTGTCTGTCCATCCCAGACAGAGCGGAAGGGGAAGAGGGAGCATTCGGCTCCCCCGTTTTGTCCGTCCCAGGCCGAAGGCAGAGCGGAACAGAGAGCCGAATGGATCTCTGCGTGCGTTTCTTGATCCCGTTCAGGTGAGATGAAGAGGAGAAGAACCTCTTGTGTGCTCCCTTGCTTTCTCTTCTTTTTCCTTGGACCAAAAGAGGGAAGTTTCTCTATTTTCCTCCATTTCTCCAAGTGGGAGAGCAAAGCCCTGCTCTTTTCCTTCTCTCAAGCAAAAAGACTAAGTGCAGGAGTATAGTGGAGGCACTTAGAGTATGCATACTTGCTGTGGGGACTTCTCCCACCCCTTCCTTCAACTCCGGTGACCTCCAAACAGCGAGGACAGCAGTTGGAATATTCTGGACAGCAGTTTGGTGTGTCTTCTACAGCATATTTGTCATCCGGAGCAGCTTGGACCGCTGTTTGGGATGTTTGGACAGGACTTCTCTGTTGGACTCACTGAACATCATCATATCATTACAAGCGCACTACACCCTACTCTTTTCACGGCGATCTTACCATGTCAGTGGATACCCGATAAATGCTAAAATATTCTTTTCACTTTGATTATTCCAACAAACCACCTACTACTCCTATTTGGGTTGCATTTCCTCATATTTGTTTGTATTATTTTCAACCAATCCACCTTATACAGATTTGACTCTATTTTTGATAACCCTTTGCCAGTGAATTCTGCAATAGCTCATCTCTCTCAATTATTAGTGGCAAGAAGTCCGATTGAATTGGGTGTCTCTATTCCTTTTGAAAGGAGGTGCGGATTGATCCTCTTCATGTGGATATTAGCAGAAGGAACTCCTCCATATTGTTATTCTTATAAGATTTTTGGGTACAACTATTCTAAATGTCTTAAGGCTCAACTGAAATTAAGGAAACCGAACATCCAAACACAAGGGGAGCACATTAATGATCAGATTTAAACTTTTAAGAAGATAGATGCAATTCCTCCTACTTCATATGAATATACACTCAAAATATAATACCAACTTTAGACCTTTCAATGGATTCGGAACCATCAATGTTGCCCCGATTAGGCCCAGAGAAACAAATCACTTGAGCTCGTGCAAGCATGAACATTGATCATTATCTTCCTAATATAGTTCCCCTCATCTTATTATTAAAGAAGCCAATGCTCATATTTTAGAGTAGTCTTATGATTATGATGGGATTATGCAGAATATTGACGCTCTCGTGGATAGGAGATTTTAAATCTTATTTATCAAGCAAGAAAAGAATATATTGTCACCAAGATTCAGCAAGCTTCAACAAAATATTTTTAATGATCTGCTTCAATTGAAGGATTTTGCATCATAGCCTCATGTTATGACACTTTTGTTTTTTACTGTTTTTTCTATGGCAATTCTTCATAACTGCCTCTTGGAGTACTCATTTCATTTACTGCCTATAAAAGTATATTATTTAAAGAGAAAAATGGAAACAAACATCTAAAGATTAAGAAGATAGTGGAGGCTTCATAAGCACTGCCAGTAAGGAGAGAACTGAGAATGTATTTTCATCATAGATATATCATCACCAAAACCACCTTTCCAACCCCAAGCTCATATGAAAAAAAGATGAGGGCTGATGTTAGATCAACAACTAAATATTTATGACAAAATTTTATGAAATAAATTTAAATTTGATTTCTGCTAAGTCAAAGTAAAATGTTTGGATGAAGATGAAACGCCACCAACAGAAGCAACCAATGCCGATTATTCTGGGTTGGCATGATTATTTTGGGTTGTCCTATCACCATAAAAAATATATATACCGATTGATAGCCACAATCATAATAAGATAGCAATAGTAGTGCGTAGCACCAACTTTTTCCTTATGGAGAGAAACTTCTTTTTTATAGGAAATTTGTAAAATAATTCCCTAAAATATCCCTGGGGCTTCAGTAGCTCAAGACACTTGGTTCATCATCAAATCAATCTCAGTTTGACATGGAAACTAAGTTCAATCTTTGAAGGGGAAATTCGGAACCCAGACACAGGTAATAAGTAATAAGAGCTTATACATTACAGTGAAGAAGTTGATCAAATAAAATGATGACAACCGCGAATATTCATTGAAAGGCTTATGTAACTTATACTGGCTGAGCCAGAAGATGGCAGAAAATTATCATAGGTAACTATGTTACACCGATACGAATACGGGGACACGGATACGACACGATACGGATACGGGACACATCAATTCTTAAAAATATAGGATACTGGTATGGCACGGACATGACATTATAATTTATAAATCATACATAAAAATTAAGAAAGTAATCAAAACATAATATTTAAAATTACAAAAAAAAATGAAAGTAACATCATTTGTAGCTTATAATATCAATATAAAAGTAAGTATTAAATATCTAGTACAACAACAAAAGCATAAACACAAATTATCTAGCACATGAAGTCTCAACTATTCAATAGAAGTAATGATATGATTAGCTTTTTCAGTTGTTTGTCTTTGAACTTCTATATCATCTTCAATAAATATCATAGCTTCTAATTCAGGCAAATTAAGTAAAAGATTAATAACTTCTAATATTCCTATATCATCAAGAGACTCAAATCCATATCGAAAATGAGAGAACCTAGCTTGTAGCCGCGGAAGTAAATATGAAGGGCTTTTTTTCAAATTTTTTTGTTGTTTTTCAACAGACACGCGTATCGGATATGCGTGTCCTTTTGAAATTAAATAGTATTTTAATTGGATATGGCAAAGCTGTATCCGACACATATCGGTGCCGTATCATAGGCGTATCCATGTATCGGTGTATCAGATATAACACGCCTTCATAAATAGGTGTATCGGTGCAACATAGACAAGTAACCAAGTTACGGATGATCATCAGACATATGGTGAATAGAAATGCAGGAAAATGGCATAAATGTGGAGAAAGATGACAGAGGATACTTCTACAACAACTCCACCACTCCACTCTACCTCATAATTCTACCTGCTAAAGGATTCTGCATTCGCCACAAATTCCTCTGCAGCGGTCTGGCAAATGTCCTGGATTAATCTCCACCATTCGTATAGGGCAATATTGTAATTTTTTAATCAGAACTTTACATATATATATATATATATATACAGATCTCATCTACTGTATGTGTCGATCATATACACTGCTGTAATAGAATTACTTGAATACAGAGATGTAATTCCATACAGGTCTATCTGCATTTCGGTTCCTCTGTTCTGTTTCCTATTAATTTATCTTCAGCTACTTTATTATTTATACCTTCTATAAGAGAACCATGCCTTGTAAACGAAGAGTTTCACATCATTTGACAGCAAATATATACCAAGGAAAAAATTCTAAAGCGATTTCCTTAGCCTACAGACTGCCACAAAAACCACACCATATGGCACTCAGTTGCCATTTTGCAATGCAATCACTTAGTTGCAGGATTCTTTTTATGAGCCAATGCATGAAAGTTTCCTCATTTAGGAAAAAAGTGAAAGACTCAATTGATTAAAAATGATATGTTTTACAGCAAGAGATTACCAATAATTAGGGGCTACGTGTCACATTTCCAACTGTCAACGTATTTTCCAAGGAAAGCCATACAGAATTGTCCTTTGCTAGTATGGTAAGTATTGTACAACAGCTTAATGATGTTGCTAGAAGATTCGTAACAGCATAGGGAAACAGAATAATGTGTGATGATGAGCACAAGCATGGAAAGAAACAAGTTCATAGGGAAACAGAAGCTTACCCATTCTGTCCTCCATGCCCACCTTTTGGTAATAGCCTCAACTTTGCAAAAGGTAAATCTAGATCATCATACATCTGATGCAGAATCATAAATTAGATAAATCTAGCCATAATTTCTTTGATTATTGGATGAATGAGGGAAATCAAAATGATACAGTAGTACCAGGAGTACTTGATTCAGTGGTATTTTGAAATATGAAACAAGTGATCCAACCTTCATAAAAAATTTCAATATAACATTATATTATAAAATAAATTACATATTGAAATAAATAAATAAAAATTTACTAAAGAACTAATACTTACAGACTCACCACTTAAATTCATAAAAGTTTGTGGTTTAGCCAGCATGACAGGAACATCTCCAATGCAACCTACATATAGAAAAAACAGCACATCTATGAACTTTCTAAGAATTTTTGTGAATGGTAATTAGAAAATTATCCTATATAATATCAAAAATTATGATTTCGGGAAAAAACTAAAAAACCACTTGGGACATGCTTTCTCAGCTGCTCACTCTCAAATAATCTGAAAAGTGACCATTTTGATTTCTAGGAAACAAGTGCGGAAATTGATAGCTGAAATTGAAGTTTCAGCATTATAGAATAGAAGATAGAGAAGATCTTGTGGACAAAACACCCAAATAGCCTTTAGATTGCTGAAATACAAATGAAGAAAAACAAGATATAATAGATCTTCTATTGGAGAGGAAGATCCGACTCTCCCAAATCTCTAGACACCGCTAGAGCCCAAACAAGAACTAAGAACCAGAAAATTTCAGCAAAAAATAGAGATGAAAACCAAACCCTAGCCACCAAAACATACTTAAGCATACAATAATTAGGTAAATCCCAAAATAGCCCTTTCTATTTGAATTTCCCTCCTAAATCCCCCCTTAATTCCCCTAATTAAGCTTGTAAAACCCATTATCAAGGGGCGGCAGAGATTGTTGGGGGGAAATTCCCCTATTCCGCCTCCTGTAAACCTGGACCGGTCCAAGAATCGGTCTATCAATACTCCCCTCCCAAAGAGCCACATTGTCCTCAAGGTAGAAGGAGGAAAACCGATGCTTCACCCTCTCATATAGCTGTCAAGTGGCATCATAGTCAGGTAAGTTCTTTTACTTAATCAACACTTTTTTGGGCTCTCCCTCTACCTGATGTACCTCTTTCAACTCCAGTTGTTCCAAAACCACCCCCACATCTAGTGTCAGCATCTCTGATAATTTTAAACTAGCTGCATGATCTCTCATAGCTCTCCTCAACTGTAATATGTGGAACACTAGGTGTATGGAAGTAGTCGGGGGTAACTTCGAGCGATAAGCCACAGCTCTAATTCTCTCCAAGTGGGGAGGGTATCTTCCGTACAGCACTTTGAAGGGAGTCATCTGGGAGGCTGAGTGGCACGAAGTGTTATACCAGTATTCTGCCCAAGCTAACCACTTGGCCCATACCCTAAATGTTTATGAAGCAAAACACTATAGGTATGTCTCCAAGTTCATGTTCACCGCTTCTATCTACCTGTTTGTCTGGGGTTGGCAAGCAATTCTTATCTTCAGCACTGTCCCTTGTAGCACGAACATCTCTCTCCAAAAATGACGGAGGAATACCTTATCTATGTCAGATACTATAGATTATGTTATCCCATGTAACCTAACCACCTCCCTAATGAGTGCGGTCGCTACTGTCACTGTCGTAAAAAGATGTCGTAAGGGGGACTAAGTGAGTGTACTTGTTCAATCTGTCAACTACCACCAGAATCACTGGAAACCCTTCAAAGTGAGGAAACCCATAAATAAAGTCCATGGTGACCTCCTCCCACACTTTGTCCGGAAGAGCTAGGGGTTGAAATAATCACCCAGGAGCCACGGTCATATACTTGTTCCGCTAACACCTCACATCGAGCCACCATTTCTTTAACATCCTTATGCACCCCCTTCCAATATAGCTTCATTGTCAGCCTCCTATATGTCTTTTGAACACCCGAGTGACCCCCAACCGTGCTCCTGTGGAACGCTTTCAATAGCTGTGGGATATGAACTGAGGTCTGAGGCATCACAAACCTCCCCTGGCATAGCAGTCTCTCCCCCTCTAGAGAGTAGCCTGGGTGACTGTTCTCTTCCTTCAGAAGATCTGCTCTAATTTTTTCCAACTCCTCATCATGCATACTCTCCTCCTTAATAGCTCCCAAATCGAACATTAGTGGTATCGACATAGCCAACTCCTGGAGCTTCCCCAAGCATCTAGACAAGCCATCCGATGCCTTGTTCTTCAATCCTGACCTATAATGAATCTCAAAATTATAGCCTAATAGACTTGACAACCATCTTTAATGCTCCTCTATCACCATTCTCTGCTCCAAAAAGGAACTTCAAGCTCATCTAGTCTGTCCTAACAATAAAATGTCAACCCAGTAAGTATGGTCACCACTTCTGAATGGCTAACACAATGGCCATCAATTCCCTCTCATAAATTGACTTCAATCTAGCTCTAGCTATTAGCATCTGGCTGAAGTAGGCTATGGGTCTGTGATTCTGCATGAGCACGGCCCCCAACCCATATCCTGATGCATCTGTCTCCACCACAAAAACCTGACTAGAATCTGGTAGGACCAAAATTGGTATTGTGGTCATGGCTTTCTTAAATCTTTCAAAGGCTTGTGTAGTTGTCTCTCCCCACAAAAAGCTATCATTTTTTAATTGCTATGTTAACAACTAGGCCATGGTGTTATCCTCTCACAAATCTTCTATAGTACTCCGTCAAACATAGGAAGCCCCTCAGCTCTCTCAGATTCTTAGATAGAGGCCATTTCTAACAATCTTAGCATGATCTGCAGCCGCCCCCTCCTGATAGACTACGTGCTCTATGTACTCCACACCGGCCTTTGCAAAGCAACTCTTCTTCAGATTGACCCAAAGTTGATGCTCTTGTAATACTTCAAAGACCACCCTTACATGCTCCAAGTGCTCCCCTATCGATCTGTTGTACACCAGCATATCATCAAAGAAAACCTATACAAACTTTCGGAGATATGGTTTGAACATCCTATTCATGAGCAACTGGAAAATGGTAGGGGCGATTGTAAGTCTGAACGGCATCACTAAGAACTTGTAATGCCCCTTATGTGTCCTGAAAAGCAGTCTTTCGGACATGCTCCTCCCTCATGATTTGATGGTAGCCAAACTTCAAATCCACCTTGGTGAACACCACTGCTCCACACAACTCATCCATTAGCTTATCGACCACCGATATAAGAAACTTGTCCGACGTAGTTTCCTTATTAACTCGATAATCCACGCAGAATCTCTAGCTCCCGTCCTTCTTGACCGACAAGATTGGGCTAGAAAAGGGACTCACATTTGGTCTGATGATGTTCACCTCCAACATCTTCAAGATTAGCTTCTCAATCTCATCCTTTTGAATCTACGGGTAACGGTATGGTCAGACACTAATCGATAACACCCCCTCCCTTAGGTTGATGGCATGCTTCTGCTCCCTCAGTGGTGGTAAGCCTTGAGGTGGCCGAAAGATCTCACTAAACTACTGTATAAGTGGTTGTACAAAAAAAAGGAATGTCCCCCCTTCCTATAGTCTAATCTACTCTAAGCTCTACAATTCCACTAGAAATCCTCCTCGTACCTCTATATGGTCCTAACCATAATTTTGAGGTACACCAAGGCCTTGGACAACCCTTTATCTCCCTGAATCACTATTCTTCTTCCTTCCAACACTAACTTGATCGTTAGTGCTCCCCAATTGACATTGGTATCTCCTAAGATCTGCAGCCACTTCATCCCCAAGATGACATTAGTGCTTCCTAACTCCAATAGGAGAAAATCCTCCCTCACTTAAACCCCCCCTATATAATAAACACAACTCCCCTACACACTTCTTTACCCATATCCACCTTCCCAGTGTCCATCATCACCACATAAGCTCCGGTGTCCACTAATTTCACCCCCAATTTGTCAACTGCCTTATTGGAGATAAAATTGTGGGTAGCCCCACTATCGATCAGCACCACCACCTCTTTGTCTTCTATTTCTTCTTTCACTTTCATGGTGTGATTCAGGGTGAAATCCACCATTGAGTTTAAGAAGACTTCGGCCATGTCAAGATGCAGCTCTTCCTCCTCTTCTACCAGTGCCTCACTCTCACCTCCCTCCTCAACTTTCTCGTCATCACAAACGGTGAGAACCTGAAGAGTTTGGTCCTTATACTTGTGCCCCGGCGTGTACCTCTCATCACATATAAAGCACAATCCCTTTGGTCGTTTCTCCTGTAGCTCCTTCTCAATGAGCTTCTTGAAATTTCCCCCAAATCCCCCTCCTGCAAGCTTCTCCTTCGGGACCTCATGAAGGCTTCCCGGTCTTGGCCTCTTGGGAGCTAAGAACGTGGTGGACTTCCTGTCGCCGGTTGCTCCATAGCCTCTCCAAAGTCACAATGCCTCATCACTCTAACTGCTACCCGGATCTTTGGTTTGAGTCTCTTCATGAAGTTCCCCTCTAACACCATCTCAAAAAGGTGATCCAGTCGGCTAGCAAGGTACTCGAACCTCTCCCAGGACTCTACCACCAACCATCATATATCAAGGCGAAAAACTGCTTGTAAAAGTCTTCTCCCCTACTGATTCGGAAATATTTTAACAAGCAATCATTGAACTCCCTCCAGCTCCATATGGGTCGTCGCATGTCCCTCTACTGGTACCAAGCCAAGGCCTTCCCTTCTAAATATAGGCCAGCTGCCATCAGCCTCTCCTATGTCAAGCCATTGAGGGCAAAATACCTAAATAGCCTTTAGATTGATGAGATACGAAAGAAAACAAACAAGATATAATGGATCTTCTATTGGAGAGGAAGAACTAGTTTTCTAAAATCTCTAGACGCTGCTAAATCCCAAACAAGAACTAATAACCAGAAAATTTCAACAAAAACAGAGATCAAAACCTAACCCTAGCCACCAAAACATACTTATGGAAGTTCCTCTCTTAATTCCCCTTAATTAAGCTTATGGACCCCACTATCAAGGGGCAGCAGAGAGAGGGAGAAACTTCCCCTGTTCCGCCTCCTATAAATCTGGATCGTTCCTGGCTGGACTGGTCCAGGAACCGGTCTATCAGAAACATCAGCAAGAAAGAGTTGTGCTGCATGTAGACTTCATTCATAACTTCATAATTAGTGCAATACGATTACAAAGTAATTTGTGCATTTCTACTTAAATAGCAGTTATTTTACTCTTACCAATAAGGTAGTACAGCGAGGCACAATATTAAAAATATGTTATCAAATGAACCTTAGAATGTGTATAAAATAGGGATACATGATCTTTGAAATTGCAGGTTGAGGCTTACTGCAAAGACAACCAATAACTAACGATCCTAATACTTACTTTAACACTGAGAAGGATTGATGGAATGAAAGTAAACAGAAAGTTCACGCTTTTGAACACTATGCAAACTATCTAGGAAGGCACGGTGTGCAGTTTCAAGTATCCATTTTCTGTACCATTTTTCTCACTTTCCAACCTTAGATTTGGCTCTTCTTGAGGGTTCCTACAAGCCATTGAACCTCAAAGTATCCGATATGCGAGGGTTATAGCATAAGCAACAGGACAATGAAACAAGAGTACCTTCAAAAGCTGAGAGGGTGATTTAGGTTGTTATGAAAAATCAAGGTCAAACCAGAATAAAAAGAGAGTATAAAACAGAGACAGGAAGCAGAATGGACAACAGACGACAGAGTGGTAACAGGTCATAAGGAGTCTTATTTTTATTGTATCTTGATTAGTGGGAACCGGTTTATTTAGTTTAAAACTAAGACTTAAAAGGAAAACAAGAGAGTTTGAACTGAATGTTGGAGAATTAGCAGACACAATTATTACAAAATGAATAAACCTTGTGTGTTTGCAAGGAACTAAATGAAAAGGAGAAATTTTCAAAGAGATTTTAAAGGTCATAAGCTATTGTACACTGTGAAGATTAACAATAGGAATGGAGCATAAATATGATATTGGATAGAATTGAAAGAAATAATTATTGTGGCAAACAATGATGTTGAAAACATCTATAAACACCCATGAGAGCAAAACCTTCTTGCATTGCGTAGTGAATAACCAAAAAAAATTGTAAGGGAAAGGTAATTAAAAAAAATTTAAAAATTTATACCATTTTTTGCACCTCACAAAAACATTTAAAAATATTTTTTTTAATCTTACATGTTGTTATGATCATTTTAATATATGCACTTCTATTGATTAAACCTAAACTTCTTTAGATATAACAGTATGCTAAACTACTGTACTGTAGCATTAAAAGGATTTTTCCCACTTTGATGTACACTAAATTATATTTGGTAGTATGCGCCTACATGAAAGGTGTGCAATGTTTTAACGTTGCTCCTAGCACTTTCTAATATAATATAGCGTACTAGCAACGAATACTGTTATAGGAGGACAAGCGGGTAAATCATAAATGCTGAAAAAAAATTACATATGGTTATCAGATTTATTGTGAATGAAGAAAAGAGCTCTGCTCTTTCTACATTGAGCAAATTGGAAACTTTGAATTGCAGTAATTGATGAAGAAATACGCATCACTCTTACAGAAGGTATAGGGATTGCTGTCAAAAGCGACCCATAGAGCCTGATAACAGACTAATCTCAGGCACGCCACTACCAAACCATCTGATGTACCAAAACTCAATCATGAAAAATGAATGCATCAAAAAGCAGGATGCAGAGTCACTGAAAATTTTTGTGCATGACACAAAAAACGCATTATTTTGAACCTCAAAGCCTTGTCATAAAAAAATGGAGCACATGATGCGTCACACCACGCCATGCGCAACAGCATTATTTTGTGCTTTTTATGGAGCTTGTTTAGAGAGTTGATTAGAATAATCCTTGTTGTAATCTTCTATTCAAATTGAAATTTCGCAAAAACTTAATTGGAAATATTTTAATTTCTTTCTTCTACCTGTTTTCCTCAACCTGTAAAGGACTCAGACCATGCATTATAGATGTTAGCTGAATGCCAACAACATTCTGTGCGTGGTTCTGCCACTGATTACTACAGTTTCCTTGGTTTACTGCATATTGTTTGCCTTATTAAATGCCCTACCGCTGCTTCTTGCTTTGCCTTGCTAGCTGGTGCAGATAGCTACCATGTCGCTGCTGCTCTAATTTGTGATTATTACTATGGATTCAAAGTATTGTCATGACATTCCTTGAGGAAAAAAACCGCTGTGTTTATTTCTTCATAGAATGGAGAAGAGAGATCGACCTAAAACAAGAAGATTGGTCTACGGATGTGCACAAAAAATGAACACGAAACACAGGCCTCCACGAACAGCAACCATAGAAAACATGATCCAATCTTGGAGATAGTAATAGCTTACCAAATTAGCAACAACAGTGAACTTTCAAATCAGTGGATAGACAAAATAGAGAACTGGATACATGTTGCAGCAGGGGATCAGAAACAACTGTACTAGGAAGTCTGATGAGAACAGAATCAAAATAACTCGCAACAGTAAATCAAATTCATCGAGATAATCAAAATGCAGGAAACATATCCTGTTCTTAAATAGGATCATCATCATATAAATGCTCTATGAGAAACTAAAGTATAAAAATAAAAACGACGACAGTTAAAATAATATTAACGCATATAATTTGTCACCAATAAATAGACTTTCAAGTTTACATCATATGAAGAATTGAACAATAAAAATGTAATGAATATCAGAACTGTATAATCGTTATAAAAAAATATCCTAAAGCCGTGGAATATAACATTTATAACGTGCACAAGATATTCCGATGTTTAAAAATAGATGCCAGATAGTAAAAGTTTTGCACATAAAAACTATGACAATGTTTCCTTGTTCCAGAATTTGTTGCCTTTGCTTTCCGCTTTGTGAAATCATTAGGTTTAGACATTATTTCGGTGATCCTTTCCTTTTCAAAAAGGTAGCAACAAACCTTTTGTTTTTTCTACGGAAAAGGGAAAAATAATACGAACGATTGATTTCTTTATGATACACTCTTGATTGAAACAGTTTGAAAATTTCAACAAATTCCATTTATTTTTCATTTCAAAAACTTGTTCAAATTTGAACCTCTCCGTTTATCTATATTTCTATATTGATGATCTATTTACAAAGTTGGCTTAGAAAGTACTTATGCAAAGAAAAGTAAAAAAGAATGAGCTTCTTCAAAAGCTGTGATACATTATTTAGACATGAATATATAACAAAAAGCCAATGTGTGATGGAAAATAAAAATGGAATCGAAATACAATATCTATGACGTGACATAACCATACCCAGCTTCTCACAAAAAGAAAATACAGCGTACAGAATTCCTATAGTACAATGTTCATACCTTTTCCTAGTAATGCTTTACAATGTATGTTGGTCACTGATATCCCTTCAGCTTCAGCTATTGCATTTATCATTTCAAAGCCCACCTGGAAATAAAATCCAATAGAGTAATGTAAGCTATTACAAGGACAAAAAACATGTACTAAAAAGGTAAGCTATGATGCACTGACACTCCGCTTAAAGAGGGTATGCAGTGTCGGAAACGTGTCGAACACGGACACGCGTCGGACACGGCATGAACACGTGTCCGACACAGCATTGGAGTGTCTCAATTTAAAAAATTAAAATTAAAATCGGACACGCGTGTCTGATACGCGTGTCCGGTTATTAAATGATAAAATCGTCCGTTCTATTTAGCCTTTTCCGCAAACGAAAAGCCCTATTTTCCGATCCATGAAAGAAATCTTCGAGGGCAGACCGGGAGAGCTCGCAGTCGACGCCAAACGGAGCCCGCTGCCTTTGCCCCCCGTTCCTTCGTCATTTCTGCTCGAGCCGAGGCCAAGCAGAGCTCATCTTTCCCATTCCTTCATTCTTGCATGATTTTTGCGGTCATCTGAGACAAAGTTCGCATTCAAGGCCAAACAGAGCACCTTCTGCGCGCAAGAGAGCTAAGACCTATAAGTGGATTCCGCTATTTCTTCTCTTCATTGTTGAAAAACCTAATGTACATGCTCGGTACCACTGGGTATCGCTAGGTACATGCTCGGTATCGCTAGGTACATGCTCGGTACCGCTCAGTACATGCTCGATACCGCTCAGTACATGCTTGGTACGGCTCAGTATATGCTCGATACCGCTCAGTACATGCTCGGTACTGCTCAATATATGCTCAGTACCGCTAGGTACATGCTCGGTACTGCTAGGTACATGCTCGGTACCGCTCAGTACCGCTAGATACATGCTCGGTACTGCTAGGTACATGCTCGGTATCGCTCAGTACCGCTAGGTACATGCTCGGTATCACTCGGTATCTTCCCATACAAACAACTTACGAACTTTAAAAACAAGCAGAATTTCAAAATTACTCTTACAATAAAATTTTGTTTTCCGGTGTTTTGATTGAATTTAAGACTTCCAAAAGTGAAAGCTTGACAGTAGAAGAAACCAATTTAGATAGAAGTGTATGAGGACATCGATATGCAGCAGTAACCCCCGCAGGGGCGCTGCCCCTTGACCCCGAGACTTGACCGGGCAGGTCGAGCCCCACCAAGGGGCAACGACCCCTTGGACCCCCAGCGGACCGGTATATTGTTGTATTCATGTTGTCTTATTATTGGGATATTTTGATTTCACTTCATATCAATTTATGTTGATGTATTCATATGTATGATTGGTTTGTTAGCAAAATGAGCTCTGCTGCTGACGGGAGTGGATTAGGTGAAGGTTCAAAAGAGCCATCTGTCCACGCCGTGTCTGTGTCCTATATTTTTAAAAATTATTATATATTATATTAAAAAATTATTATGTCGTGTCCACGCCGCACCCGTAACTTATATTTTTAAAAATTGTCGTGTCCGTGTCGTTGTGTCCGTGTCGGTGCATCATAGAAGGTAAGTAATTACAATCCCACATCCCAAAACACTCCTTCAGACGTGCAACAATTATAATTATAAAAATTGTCATCATAACCTAGCCCCTCCAAGACCCTAACAACCGCATGACCAAAACACCCATAAACTCAACTAGCCTCATGATTACAACCCAAACCCTACAAATCACAGGCTTCTTCTAAATACAATCATACTCGCTGGAATGCAATATGCCAAATCATTCTACTTAATCCCTTATTTGCAAATATACACAACCCACACGTCTCGGAAGAAAATTGTCCAAAAAACTAAAGTTGAAACTACTAAAAATAAATGCAAACAACAAACATCAAGTGAATTTAAATTCCCCTAAGCTTCCATAGTTCCATATGCGGTCTTTCTGGGATTGTACTTGTGTTCAGCTTCCATATGGGGCTGTCCTTCAGAGTGGCTATAGCTGAGTTTGCACGGTTCAGCTGTTTCCTTTAATGGCTTTCTTCCATCTGCGATATTTCCTTTAATGGCTTCTTCCCATCTAAAGAGCATTTCCTTCGACAGCTACTTTCCATCTGAGAACTTACTTCTTGGGCAATTTAGATCGGTTCAGCTGTTTCAAGTTCCTTCTTAGGCTTATTGGCTACTCAATCTGATAGTTTTTATCCTTTATTTACAAGGTACTGCAGCTAGAACTTACTAGAATTGTTAGAACAAAATTCTAAAAGTGGAAATTTCTTGTATTGTTGAAACTGAAGTCAGAAGACAGGTGTTCGTGCAACAATTGAGAATGTTGAATCGAAATTTGTAGCTTTACTCTATATCTTCGAGAATTTTGAGAATATATTGTTTTGGGCTAAGGGTTCCTAGGCATGTAAAATTCAATTCATGATTTAATAAAATTCAGGCTCCTCTCAAATTGTTGTGTTCTTGAATATGAATTTTTGGAGTGTATTGCAAGTTTTGAATGCAATTTTTGGGGGAAAACTCTCCTTATGCTAGTATGGGGCATGTGTCTTCAAGATTTGTGATTTATATCCTTGTTCCACCTTCTAAATCATTCAGTGATATGTCTGTGTATGTGATAGAGATTTTATCAAGTTGATAAATGAAGATTTCCTTTTGTGGTTTGAATCTCAATCGTTGCAAAATTTTATTTTGGTTCTTGAACATCTTGTAGAATTTTCATAATTTAACAACTTTTAAAACATTGTTTGAAAATGAATAAACTCTACTTTCTAGTTTGCTTCAAAAATAACTAATCCTTATGCATCTCGCCACAGGTTTGCAGCATGAAACTCTAGACACTAAGACATCCTACATTAAATTAGTATTAGAGCTTATGGTTGCATCATCATGTCAACTAAAAGTAAAGCACAATAATTAGATCAATCAAAATATTAATAGAAAAATGCAATTTAAACAAAATCAAGTAAGTTGCTAGAAATAAATACACTATAAGTATTGAAAGGATCAATATTTTATTCCTGCCATTGATAGGAGACAGCCTTCAGGCATTTTCAAAATGAATGGATAATTTTGAAAAAAATTTATTCGAGTTAAAATTTACTGAAATGGATGGATATGCTCAAACTTATTGGTGTAGAGTTGCAAACAAAATAAAATCAACATGGTAACATTAGACATAGATTAAAAAAATAATGTCGTTCTAAGAATATCAAGACTAATTAAAAAATCACTTCAAGGATTGTAAATAAACAATTCTAATATGTTGGCATGTTACGATAGGTATATAAAAAACAATTTATCTCTAGACTATCTTATTATCATTATGTATATTTTTAAAGATCTTAAGCTAAATTTTATGAATGATTTAAGCTACAATTCACCAAAAACCAACAGTGAGGCCTTAACTAGATCTTTGAATTTTGAGGCATATTATGAATGATCGATTAAAAATACCAAATGTGTAAATAAACTCTTAAAAAATCATTACATTATTCTCTAAAGCCACTTAAACATAGATCGGCATAGGAATCATGCATAATCAAATATGATATGTTTTTTTTTAAATGATGCAATAGATGTAGAAGATCTATAATTACAATATGAGTCAATATTATATTTTGTTAAATTTAAATATATGCCCAAGATAGAACATACTTAGGAGCCTAAATGTATATTCAACAAGAATTGTAATTAAAGTTTGAAACTAAATATAAGAGATCACATCTTAATCACAAATTGAGTCTTAAATTAAGCTTAAAATTGTATATAAACTTGAATCTTAGAGAAAAATTGAGTCTACTCTAGAGAATGAACTAAAACTATATCAGAACAAAAGACAGGATTTTAGCCCTAAATTTCAAATCAAAATTGAATATATCCCTAAAAAATGAAAGTGAACAAACATATTTGTTGTAGTTGATGAGTCAATTGAACAAGCTGACATAACAGATGAAGTTATTAACAAAGCTATTTTTATGAAACAAATTGAAATTGATTTCATCTTTTTTCTTAGAATGTAGACCTACAAATTCATAAACTGAATCTTAATAAGAAAGTCAGATATTGTGATTACTTAAAAGAATTTGTTAATGAGGAATGTCATAAAAGTCATCCATCAAGACCACCTAAAAGTGCATAACTCATCACCACTATTATATAAATCATTTGGGTTAACTTTCTATAAAGGAGTTGTTCATTCATATATACATGTCATTATTGTTTAAAATTGCGCAATATGAGACTCACCTTGAGGCCAATCTCAACATAATTCCAGTGAAAAATGCCTCTAGCTTTTTTTATGAGGCATGTACCTTGGTTTGGATGAGGCATGCCTCGCCTCACTCGCATGAGGTGTACGACTCAACCTATTTATATGTTTTTTTATTAAAACTTATATTAATCCTAAACTATAGACCCTAATAAATCACGACTTCATGCAACCCCGAGCCACAACAACTTTCTTTTGACTACCTCGACCTTCAGCCCGCCGCCACCATCCCCATAGCCGGCTCCAACATCACTAGTCGCCGCCAAGGATCACTTGGAAGCCGCACACGACCACCATCTCCTCTAAAAATTTTGTTGTATCAATCTCATTTTTATTTTGATGACAAACATTTAAAATAAATGAAGAAAAAGCAAATTGTGAGGCATTAGACTCCCGAGGATGAGGCAGGGGAGAGACAAATTTGTTATGATGATGACTCAAATAAAAATTCCCTTAGTCATAAAGTGAAAATATTTTTTAAGTTGTTGTCAATTATTTTTTTTTAATTAAATGTAGATGAGTAAGAAACTGGGAAAGAAAGAATTTGGAGTTGAACTTGATGTTATAGGATACTTTTATGCAATTCCTATATTTTATGTTATAATATTTAGATTTCAATTCTATTTCACGTTATTTATCACCTGTCACTTTACATCTTCTATAAATTTTTTATTTCATATGCATATTAAATTGTTACGTCATAATTCAATAGAAAGTAATATGTCATCCTTTAATATATTATTTAATATTTATGTATTATATAAAAAATCTATTTTAACATTTATTTTTACTTTACAATTTTTTTTTAATTTTGAGGCTTACATCT